ATATTTAAGTTTTTTAACACACTCGGCAATATGTTTTTTAAATTTTATTTTTATTTCTATTTGCTGTTTTACCAACCAAAGTACTGGTCTCATTTATGGGACTGATGTTTGCAAAGCGACTTCATTCATGTGCAAAGCAGTAATTTGCTTATTGGCTTTCCTGCCAAAATTGTGATGAGAAAATTATAGAACAGCTCTGTTTTTGTCTTGTACACTCTGAGCTGCAGCCAGGGGATAATTAAAGTGTAAAACAGAAGGCAGCGTGTGTTTTTAGAGCTAAAGGACGTTTCACACAGGATGCAAACTATTGCACTTTAATACTTCTGTCTGCTTCAGACCACGCAGGTTAGCAGCGCGTGTGAACAGCTCAGGTGTCATTAGGCAAGCTGACATACATTTTATTTATATTGTTAATCCACCAGGTTAAATTATCAAAAAATATAAAACTAAACAATAACAATTATGAGTAAGATTAACATTTTTATTATTGAGCTTTCTATGGGCTCAAATTCCAGCCATAAATATTTTACGCGTGTAAAAAAAAGATTTGTATTTTTTAAAAATAATAATAATCACAAGTTACAAAACATTTTCACGATGTTCTGTTTACATACACAAATCCAAAAACTATGCACTAATTTCGTCCTAGATTTTCCTCCTCTCATCTGATTGGTCAATGTCATGTCAATCACAAATTACGGATCCAATCAGAAAACAGATGGGCTTGGCTGTAGACGCCCCATTGAGAGGAGAGCGTCCGCCAAGTCCAACCGGCAGCGTCCAATCACGTTAAAAGTTACAACTGTTGTCCTTGGTGCCTGTTTGTTTCCCAAATATATCACAGTGTGTGTGAATGACAGGGATTAACTTCAAACACTTTGCAGAACGGTGCTTTAAGAAGTTCAGCCCATTTCCTTGTTAGATGACCAGATCGGACGCTCTGACGACCAGTCCGCTCAACGAGGCGCCAAGCCCATCTGCTTTCTGATTGGATCCTTAATTTGTGATTGACATGACATTGACCAATCAGCTGAGAGGAGGAAGTCCAGGCCACAACTCATACACATAGGCCCTATTTACACGGACACGATGGGGGAAATGTAGTTTTTTCGTATGTTAATTAGAGGAAAAGATTTGCGTTGACTCGGACGCATTTTGGGTTTACATTCATCCGGAGGATTCCCCCCCCGCCCTCCCGAATCCGCTGTAGTTACCATGCCAGGTCATTAGATGGCGCTGTGAATTTTGTACCT